CCCCCAACTCGCTTAACTTCGGAGTTCCTACGACTCCGAAGCCAGTGAGCTCCCAAAAGGCCTCGTGCTAGATGGATGCGGGCATGTACATATAAGGCACATCAACACCCTTTCCGTTGGTCGATGTGGGATCTTACAGCTAGTGTCAGAAGCAAGTACACTAAAGGGTAGATCTGATCTTTTTTTTGTCTCAACCATCTTTTGCGCAAGATCAGTAATCCCTTTCAATTCTGTAAATTCATTGTTAGTGCTCACGTCCCAAATGTAATTCTCAAGTTGTTCTTCGAGTAATTTGAGGTCATGCTCAGAAAAATCACTTGGATAAAATTGGGCAAGTCGCATCAACTCTGCTTTATCAAAAGCAGAGAATGAATTTCTTGGACTCAAGCATGCCATACAAAGAAGTAATTCAGTATTCTTCTCATTGAACCGATCATTTAACTCTCGGAGCTGAATATCAATGACATCAACGAATAAATCAACACGATAATGATGTAAGTTTGTGATGGGCTGAGCTTTACGTTTTGGTCTCCCTCCACTAGAAAAAATATCATCCATTTTTGGAATTTCAATATGATACTTGCCACAAAAGAAAGAAACTTGATCAAGTAAAGAATCCCAACCATTATCTCTCATACTTTGCAATCTTCCTTTACTTATTTTGACCAAGTCCAAGGCATTCACAATATTTTTATCTTTCTTTTGTAATGCTTGAGACAAGTCGTTTGTGATTACCAAAATTCTTTTCATCAAGTGTAGACCAAAAATGAAGCTGAATGATTGCATAAAAGTCAATAGAACCTTTGCTTCAAATTTTTGTTTGTAACCTGATCCATATGTTCTTACAATCTTAAGCACATCTATCACAGACGGGAACATGTTTTCCAAACTAATTAAACAATTATAACGAGAGCTCCATCGTGTATCACTAAACCGCTTAAGATTAGTTTCTTGATTCAGGCCTTGCCCACTTAAGAGCTCATTATTATTGAGTGCTTCAGAAATTGCATCAGCATGCTTTTCTCTCAGCATATCACGACGCTTAGCGGATGCACCCATAACATTCACCACATTAGAAACCATAGTAAATAAATCTGCAATTTCTGAATGTTTCTTTGCCACAGCTACCAGAGCTAGCTGAAGTTGATGAGCAAAATAATGAACATAAAAAGTAGAGTCATTCTCATTTAGAATGAGTGTTTTAAGACCACTAAACTCACCTCTCATATTACTTGCGCCATCATAACCCTAAAATCTTTCCATAACTGAAACACATATATGAACTAAATTTAAATCGAAACAATTATGAACATCTTCTCAAACTTATAAACCGAAGCAAATTGAGCATTCAATTCAAAGCAATATATTAATCAAACCAATAGAGAATCATAGATATAGAAATTTATAAAATAAAATTAAAATTTCACCAACACAAGTTCACAATTGCATTAAAGGGATAAAGAATTACATACTACACAAGAAAAATTACAAGGGATAGAAAAATACATACTTGGAGTTGAATAGCGATTTACTAAATAACTTCAAAGCGTTTTCCCTTTGGTAATCTACACATAAATTGAAAGACCCATTAAAATCAATAGAAATAAAAAAACTTGATAATATAATTAGAATTTGAGAAGAAAAAAAAAAAACTCACAAGTAACTGGCTAGTTGTTTCTAACTCAAGAAAAGAGAAAAAGGCTTAGATTTATTGATTTATACTATAAGGCAGTATATAATAATAATAATAATAATTCTAATCCTTTTAGGAATAGGTAGTGTATAATTTTAGGATATTTGGCTGGCCCACGTTGAAAATTTCAACTTGAAATCTACTGGACCACGCCCCTATGACTTAAACGCCACACTATGACTTGACTTCTTCGGCTGAAATCTTCTTTGGCCCATATCCATATGGCTTCAGACTTCTAATACTAGTACTAATTTTTTATTATAATAAAATTTCAGTGGGGGCCAGTGACTGCATTGGTCCCCAAGTGCCTTCGCCATTGATCGTAAGTGTAGAAAATATGTAAAAAATAGACGATTTGGATTAGCGAAATACAATGCGGAGTGAGCCATACAAGGGTATCTCTCAAATAAACTTATTTGAGGGATCCCTCAATAAAAAAGCTCTCTGTATATATATAGGGTCGGGATTGGGAGACACAAAAAACCACACATTTTCAACCTTTAGATTAAATCAGTTTTGATGGTTAAGACTGCATTTGAAAAGCCATCAATCCCCTCTCAACCATATAATGAATATGCCTTGAAAATAACCCATTCTCTCTCTTCTCTCCTCACAAATTTCAAACCAGAAACCTTTGGTTTAAAGTGTTACCAAAATAAATATATAAATAAAAACACTTCTCATTTCCATGTAAGCTGGAGGAGGACGATGAACAGCATGGATTTTCTTCGAAGGATGAATTTTCATACCCCTTTTTTCTTTTGACCTGCCAAAAAATGCTTGCTAACTATAAATCATTTGAGAAAGTCTCAATCTAGTGATGTAGCTATTACCCAAAATTTACTGACCTTTCTTATCAAGATAAAGTCTTCTTTCTAATATGGCTTTCAAGATAAGGATAACATCTTCAATTTAATTTTTCTTTTCTTTTCTTTTTGATGTCGAAAAGAAACTTATATTACAGTTGCTAGAATTTTTTAAAGCCTAGGTATCTACAATAAGACCAAAGCAATTCGAATTCCAGGTTCATTGAGTCTTTTTAAGAATATATAAAGAAATAGGAGGAATGAAAGAAATGGGATTATGTTATAGAGCCTTCTTAATGATCAGGAAGCTTTATTGTGGTGAACCGAAGCCATATGAAGAAAGAAATCCATGGCATCGTCCTCCTCCAGCTCAATGCTGAGAAGTTTTTTTATTTATTTATTGGAGAAGAAACAATTGTTGGGAGAAATGAGGAGGAAAGGAGTACAGCGAAGAGGCAAAGAGACGATCAAACAAAATTGAAGAATACAATAATGCTTAGAATGCAGGACGTGAGAAATATGGAGGAGAAGAACCATAAAAACCAAAAGGGTTAAATGTTGGGCAAGAGATAGTAAAAGAGAATTAAAAGTTTACGTTTTTCAAGATTAGTGAAGAGAGAGAAGAGAGTATGAAATAGTCTAACTTCTTATCATGTTAATAATTAAGTTTAAATGCGGTAGCCATATTTAATCTGAAGATTGAAAGTGTGTATATAAATGTGTGGATCTTTGTGTGTACCCTGATCTTGACCATATATATATACATAAATTCTCTTATGTGGACGTCCGAACGTTATTATCATGCAGACACCATGTATTTTATACTATCCTTCGGTGCTTTCCTCCATTTTTACAGTGGCATCCGCATGACAATAACATACAGACATTCATATGAGAGAATAACTAACAAGCTGGGAAGGGGGTTTACACATATATTCATTGGATGTTGGGAATTTCGAACCTCTACCCAAATAAGTGAAGGTGGAAAGCCTCATTGACCTATGTGTATATTATTTTCCTCGGACATGTATTGTAAATAGCCAATCGTGTGTATTGTATCATAAAACAATCATAATATCATGGTAGAACATAGTTCGTCCATATCCATAAAATGGTGACCTCTCTATATTAAGTACATACAATTCTCCCAACCCATATCTATGTAGGATACTAGGATGTAGCACATAGGTGAAATCTAGAAACGAGCAAGAAAGAATTCATATTGGTCAATGAATTCAAATAGTGGGAACAACGGAACCCAAATTGGTCAATACTTGGGCTTGTAATCCCAAATTGGTCAACCTCTTGGGTCGACCCCAAATTAACCTAGACCTTGTGATTTTTCTTTTGAGCCGTCAACCTAGGCCTTGTTACTTGGAGTTTGTTTTTTGGGGTTGCCATATTTGGCTTCTATGCATGACGTTTGTTTACATAATTATAGCTTAACTTGCCACAAATTCGTAGAAGAGAAATTCTTATGCAACGAGAATATCACTTTTTGCTATGTTTGATGAATAACGCAATGTTACATAGGATAATTTTTCCGCATGTTATTGTGTTATTGGTCGGAAATAGCAAAGTAATGTTATTCCCGTTATATGTAAGTTTTTTTTTTCCTGTGGTAGAGGTAGGACCCATTACAATCACTAATTAATGTAAGAAAAGAAAGATTGTATGGTCCATGTGATATTAATACATTAGGAGGAATGGATAAAATTTATAAATTATATGAACAGTAATATTTTAACACGTTAAATTATCTCACGCACTTTTTTTATTATGAGCAATAGAGGGACGTGTGGAATATGAGATTTGATTTGAAGAATCAAAATCATGCCTTGCCCTCCGACTCTGCGACTCTTCTCGAGTGGTGGGAGACAAATTTCCTAGACTTTATGGCGGGCCCACAATCAGTCAGAAAAATGGACGGCGACGATTCTCCAGTCCATTCTACCTAGATCTCTGATCCCCTTTGAAAGTCAATTCGGCCCACCAATTTCCACCCTCTCTGACTTTACCGTGCAGTAAAATAGTAAAAGCAGTAAAAGCCCCATTACAATTTACAATACAAGGCGTCGCGTGTTTTGCACGTGAACAGAAGTCACGTCGGGTAGGTGGCAAGAAAGGCGTTTGACTTTGGGATGAGGCTGTCTGGGAGAAACGCCTGCTCTTCCATCGACAGAGTGACACGTGTACCGAAACAGCCGACGAGACTTAATTGGCGTTGATCGGTTTCTGTCAAACCGCATTTACCACGCACAGTAAATCAATAAATTACCGGATTTATGGCGAAGTGTTATGAAAATCCAAAAACCTAGAGAGATGAAGAGACTCTGAAGTCTGAACCCAGCAGAGCAAACCAAACCAGAGCAAAGCAAAAGGCCAGAGCTCTTGCTTTGTTTTAATTTTAATTTTTTTCCAAATAACACCGACAATTCTTCAACTTTGCATAACATGCTGGTGATACTTCTCTCTCACTCTCTCTCTCTCTCTCACTTCTTTTTCTTTAGTTCTTTTAGTTCTTTTGACTTTTGAGGTCTTATTTAATTTTTTTTGTTCTGATTTAATGAATTTTTTTTCGTTTATTTCTTCTTGGAAGTATTTTTTTTCCTTTTTTCTACAACTTTTAATTTATTCTGTTTTTTTTTACTTCGAAGAGTTTTGTTAATTACTTGGGTACATTCTAATTTCAGCATTTTAATTTATTACTTGTTTTTCACTTCGAAGAGTTAAAGATTTCATAATCTTCTGGGTTTTGAGTACTCTTCCGGTGCATGCTAGTTGAGTATTTTTTTGTTAGAGCTAGGGTTAAAGATTTCTTGGGTTGAAATTTGTTTCTGAATCCTGATCTTGGGTTTTTTTTTGTGTGATGCCAAATTTGATACAGTTTCTGGGTCAAGTGAAGTAGTGAAGTGAAGAGGCAAAGCCTATATCTGACAAACTTTGACATATCTAGTTTCCACAAGTCCATATATATCTTTTAAAAAGTTGTATTTTTGGAAGCAAGCGAAAATGTATGGGGATTGCCAAGTAATGTCAACCATGGGAGGTGGGAACGTAGTCACCTCGGAAACCCTCTTCTCGTCGCCGATCCAAAACCCTAACTTCAACTTCATGCCTTCCCAGCTCCCTTTCCAACCTTTCTCTTCCATCATCAATCCTGTAAGCTACTACTACTTCTTCTTCTTCTTCTTCTTTTCTCTACGTATTTTTTTATTTAATGGAAAAATGAACAGAAAGAAGAAAACGGGCTGCTGATGAGAGGCAAGGAGGAGATGGTGGAGAGTGGTTCTGGGAGTGAACAAGTTGAAGAAAAGTCTGGAAACGAGCAAGAGGCTGATCAACTTCAACAGCCTCCTAAGAAGAAACGCTATCATCGCCACACTGCTCATCAGATCCAAGAAATGGAGAAGTATATATCATCTCTCTCTCTCTCTCTCTCTCTCTCTCTCTCTCTCT